CTTGCAGCAATCCAGGAAATGTTTATTCAAGAAAAAAAATGACTGATTTTTTTTTAAGATTTATTTATTTGAGTTATAAGAGAGAGAAGGAGAGACAGAGACAGCGAGAGCTCTTCCATCCGCTGGTTTACTCCCTAACAGGCCGCAACCACCAAAGTTGGGCTGACCTGAAGCCCGTGCAGGTGCAGGGGCCCAAGTACTTGGGCCATCCTCCACTGCTTTCCCAAGCCGTAGCAAAGAGCTGAATCATAAATTGGAGCATCCAGGACTTGAACTGGTACCCATATGGGAAGCCAGCACTGCAGGCAGATGCTTTACCCACTGCAACACAGTACTGGCCCCAGCAAATAAATCTTAAAAAAAAAAAAAAAAAAAAACTTGAAAGTAAGTAGTTTGGAAGTAAAAGTTAGAAAAGATTCACTACCCAAATAGTAACCAAAAGAGACTTAGAATGGCCATGTCAGTGTCAATGTAGACCTTAAGATAAAAATTACCATTAAAAGGCCAGCACTGTGGCTCAATGGGGTAAGCCACCACTGATGCTGGCTCAAGTTCTGGCTGCTCCACTTCTGATCCAGCTCCCTGCTAATGGCCTGGGAAAGCTCCGGAAGATGGCCCAAGTGCTTGGACTCCTACACCCAGGCAGGAGGCCAAGAAGACTCTCCTAACTCCTGGCTTTGAACAGCTTCAACTGGTTGCAGCCATTTGAGGAGTGAACCAGCAGATGGAAGATCTCTCTGTCTCTCTTCTCTCTCTGTAACTCTGACTTTCAAATAAATAAATCTTTTTAAAATTACTATTAAAAATGAAAGACTTCTGTTATATAATTGATAAATTTCTAGAAAGATGTACTATTGAAAATTACTCAAGAAAAAATAGACAATCTGGGATAGGCATTGTGGCACAACATGTTAAGCCACCATTTGGGAAACCTTTATCCCATATCAGAGTGCTAGTTTGTCATATTTCACTTGCAGTCCAGATTTCTGCTAATGCATCCTGGGAGATAGTAGATGATGGCCTATGTGCTTGGGCCCCTAGCATCCACATGGGAGAACAGCATGCAGTTTTTGGCTCCTGGCTTCCATCTGGCCCAGCTCTGGCTGTTGGAAGTATCTGGGGAGTCAACCAGCAGATAAAGGATACGTATATGTCTTTCTGTCTCTGTGAGTTACCTTTTTTTTTTTTTTTAAGATTTTGTTTGTTTATTTGAGAGGTAGAGTTACACACAGAGAGGGAGACAGAGAGAGAGGTCTTCCATCCACTGATTCACTTCCCCAAAGGTCTGCAACAGCCATAGCTAGGCCAATCCGATGGCAGGAGCCAGGAGCTTCTTCCCGGGCCTCCCACACAGGTGCAGGGGCCCAAACACTCGGTCCATCTTCTGCTGCTTTCCCAGACCATAGCAGAGAGCTGGATCAGAAGAAGAGCAACCAAGACTAGAACCAGTTCCCACATGAGATGCCAGCACAGTAGGCGGAGGCTTAACCCACTACACCACAGTGCTGGTCCCCACACTCAGCTTTTAAGTAGATGAAAATAAATGCACTTTTTTTAAAAAAAAAAAACAAAATGGAAAATATGAGACTAACATTGTGACATAGCAAATCCAGCTGCTGCCTGGGATGCCACATATCAGAGCACCAGTTTCAGCCTCAGCTGCTGCATTTCAGCTCCAGCTCCCCACTAATATACCTTGGAAAATAGTGGAGGATTGTGCAAGTACTTGGATGCCACCGATGTGAGAGACCTGGATGGAGTTCCAGGCTCTTGGCTTTGACCTGGTCCAGACCTGGCCAGCACAGCCATTTGGGGAGTGAACCAGCAGATGGAACATCTCTTTGTCTCTCTCCTCTCTCTCCCTTTCAAATAAATAAACCATTTTTTTTTTTTTTAATTTTTGACAGGCAGAGTGGACAGTGAGAGAGAGAGACAGAGAGAAAGGTCTTCCTTTGCCGTTGGTTCACCCTCCAATGGCCGCCGCTGCAGCCGGCGCACCGCGCTGATCCGATGGCAGGAGCCAGGAGCCAGGTGCTTTTCCTGGTCTCCCATGGGGTGCAGGGCCCAAGCACCTGGGCCATCCTCCACTGCACTCCCTGGCCATAGCAGAGGGCTGGCCTGGAAGAGGGGCAACCGGACAGAATCCGGCGCCCCGACCGGGACTAGAACCCGGTGTGCCGGCGCCACAAGGTGGAGGATTAGCCTATTGAGCCACGGCGCCGGCATAAATCATTTTTAAAATATGGAAAATCTGCCTACATCTATAACAAGTAAGATTGAATTTGTAATCAGAAACTTCTCACAGTAGCAAAAGCCCAAGGCCAGGTAGCTTCAATCTTGGATTCTGTCAAACCATTTACAAACTCTTCCTTTAAAAAAAAAAAAAAAGAAGTGTGAGGAATATTTCTCAACTCATTGTATGAGGTCAATATTATCCTTATACCCACACCAAAGGCATCTCAAAAAGAAAAAAGCCACAAATCAATATCCCTTATGAGTATAGGCACAAAAATCCCCAACTGAATAACAGAGTGGTTCCATCTGTATAAAAAATAAAAAAAAAAAAAAAGATATGAGCCATCATGAAGTGGAATTGATTCCAGGAATGCATGATTAGTTCAACATAAGAACACCAAAGGTCCAGCGCTGCGGCTCCATAAGCTAATCCTCTGCCTAGCAGCGCCAGCACACCGGGTTCTAGTCCCAGTCAGGGCACCGGATTCTGTCCCAGTTGCCCCTCTTCCAGGCCAGCTCTCTGCTGTGGCCAGGGAGTGCAGTGGAGGATGGCCCAAGTGCTTGGGCCCTGCACCCCATGGGAGACCAGGAGAAGCACCTGGCTCCTGCCCTCGGATCAGCGTGGTGCGCCAGCCGCAGCGGCACACCAGCTGTAGCGGCCATTGGAGGGTGAACCAACGGCAAAAGGAAGACCTTTCTCTCTGTCTCTCTCTCACTGTCCACTCTGCCTGTCAAAAAAAAAAAAAAACAAACAAAGACAACACTTTCATAGAGTAAAGCATGTAAACCACTTGATCATCTCAATAAAAAACAGAAAAAGCAACTGCCATGAACCAATACCTTTTCATGATTAAAAACATTCAATGAATTAGGAATAGAAGGTAACTTTCTCAGTCTGATAAAGGTTGTCTCTGGAAAACCAATAGCTAAAATCATTCTAAATATTACATATTAAAGCTTTTCCTCTAAAGTCGAGGGTATTCATTCTTCCCACTTCTAATTAATTGTTCTGAAGCTTCTAGCCATAAGCTGGTCATAAGCAAAACAAATGAAAGACTCACAAAGCTTCTAGCCAAATTGCTGGTCATAAGCAAAACAAAATAAATAAAAGACTCACAAAGTATGAAAAAATAATCAAAAAGGAAAGCTATTTGCAGATGACATAATCTTGTATATAGAAAATCTTTTTTAAAAATCTAATAACAATAGGGCCGGCGCTGTGGTACAGTGTGTTAAAGCCCTGGCCTGCAGTGCTGGAATCACAAATGGGCTCAGCTACTCCACTTCTGATCCAGCTCCTGCTAATGCGCCTGGGAAAGCAGTAGAGGATGGCCCAAGCCCTTGGGCCCTTGCACCCACATAGGAGCCCCAGTAGAAGCTCCTGCGTTGGATTGGCTCAGCTCCAACCATTGTGGCCATTTGGGTAGTGAAGCAGCAGATGGAAGACGCAGTCTCTCTGCCTCTACCTTTCTCTGTAACTCTGTCTTTCAGATAAAAAAAACCTAGAAAAAAAGTCTTTAAAAAATTTAATATTAAAAACTGTATACATACAATGGACTATTATTCAGACATAATAAGGAATGAAGTATTGATATATGCTACAGGGGGGAACCTTGAAAACATGCTAAGGGGAAGAAGCATAGCACAGGTGGCCATATGTTTTAATGTCCCATTTATTTGAAATGTATAGAATAAGCAAATCCATACAGTTAGAAATAGATTAGTGGGGCCAACGCTGTGGCATAACAGGCAAAGCCACCCGGCCTGCAGTGGCGGCATCCCATGTGGGCGCCAGTTTGAGTCCCGACTGCTCCAATTCCAATCCAGCTCTTAATGGAAGAGGAACAGTCTCTTAAGATAGTGTACTTTGTGTTATGTACTGTTAGCAACCTTCAAGAAATAAGAATTTAATTGTTTATTCTTCTGGGGGAGAATTGGTCACCTCAGTAATTTTTTTACCAAAAAAGGACCAATTATTCAAAATTCATCTCCTAGATCTTGACTGTCTTTAATCAGTCTTTAAAATCTGAGCTATTTTAAAAGTAATTGCTTTCCTGTTACACTGCAAGATGGAAAGCTTTATTTTGTGAAAGGACAAAGGAGAATGGAAGCTGAGTCAAGCAATAGGATAAGAATGCAACATGAAGTATATGGATGCTCAAAAACAAAATCAGTTTCCCTCCCATTGATGAGTTACTAGTAAAATGAAATGTGCAAAATTATGATATTTGTGGGGTTTTTTCAGGTTATTAATTTTATGTGCATTTCTTAATGGATTGATAGCCAACCTTCTATGGGAGAATGTTCTGGTTTTGCTAACATGACATTAAACAGAGTATTTTTAGTAAATGAAGGTTGGAGTAATAGTTTTGTTTTACTGTGCAGTTTCAAAAAGAAAGATTTATTTATTTATTTATTTGAAAGTCAGAGTTACACAGAGAGTAGAAGAGGCAGAGAGAGGGGTCTTCCATCTGATGGTTCATTCCCTAATAATGGCCAGAGCTGTACAGATCCAAAACCAGAAGGCAGGAGCTTCCTCTGAGTCTCCTACATAGGTGCAGGGGCCCAAGGACTTGGGCCTCTTCCACTGCTTTCCCAGGCCATAGCAGTGTGCAGTTTATTTTTGGCAAGTCAGGACAGACAATGTTTTAAAGGCAAAGTTACTGCAACTAATTTTGTTTGTTTAATCTCTGCTTTCTCAAAGCTGCTATGATTTCTAATCAAAGTGATTGTTTTCTCATATTAAGGCTTGCTTTGATTTACAGGTAAACAGTGTTGACCTGAGAGCTGCCAGTCATGAACAAGCAGCAGCTGCATTGAAAAATGCCGGCCAAGCTGTCACAATTGTTGCACAGTATCGACCTGAAGGTAATGAAATTCTTGCTGTTTCTGTTGCTTATTTCAATTTTTAAAATTCTTTTTGTAACGTTTACTTCCAAGATTAACTCATTTTTATGTTTTATTTTGATTTATTAATCTAGTATTTGTTTAGTCGGAACCTAATTTACTTCCTAGGTCAAAAGTATTTTTTAATAGGGTATAGGAACTTTATCTTCCAGTTCTCCCAAGCATACACCATTTGAATTAATTTCCAAGTGTTTATTTTTTTATAACTGAACACATGTCTTTTAATAGCCCTTTTACTAGCTTTCTGATCTGAAAGAAAAATAAAGCCATAAGCAATGATAGCAATATTAACAAGGGAAATTAGATCACCCACATTTTTTTAACTTTAGAAAGGTTATATTTATTAATGTCAGGGCTCAATATACATTTCTTGTAGTTGTTATTGCTATTTAAAATGAAGAGTGCACGTTTGGGACGTAATGTATTTCTAAAATAAAGTATCATGGACATGACCTTATTAAATGTGTAGCAGAAGAAAGTGGTAATGGAAAAGTTGAGGTCATGCCATTCTAAACATATGTAAGACTCTAGTATACATTGATACAACCACTTTGCCAGTAAAACCTCAGTGGAATTATAAAGTTTAAATACCCAAAAGAATACTTAATGTACTTGTTGATGTTCATAATATAATGGAGAAGGAAAAAATTACAATCCTTGAGCTAAGTGAAATATCCTATAATTTAACTACTATAACATTTTTTGTTCTTTACTTGGAGCAGAATTTATTTTTGTAACAAAGCCTAATATTTTTTAGCTGATCAAAGTGATATTTTGGGAATTGCTTGATATTACATACAAATTATGAATCAAACCATAATATTGACTTGATTGATTCCATTCATCTAGTAGACTTCAGCCTTTTAGTTTCAGTAACTGAGCAAGTATAGAGTCATTTACATAGAGCGTAAATTCCAAATAAATTCACATTAACCAAACAAATAGGAATTAACATAGGCAGTCAGAATTCCAATTCATTAGTTTTTGTGAGAAACAAATCTGTTTGAGGGACTACATGCTTTTATCTTCTGGCCAACACATACCTACCCTCTAAGTACACTATATGGAAACCAGATTACAAACACTTCTTGCCTTTTATTACAGACACTCACATGTTTATGAAGAATATAGGCTTTTTAAGTATGATTAAGAGTAAGTTAGTATCTGCGTCCTGATTTCCCCAGAAAACACACACATACTTCTACCCACACGACTCTACCTCATATTAAAGAAAACTAACAAGACAGATAATAAAAAAAAAAAAAAAAAAAAAAAAAAAAAAAGGCATAGGTTGCTTAAGCATTTGAGATTTGGCAGAGTGCCCATTGAGGGAGGGAAAGCATGAGAAATAGAATGTCAGTAATGTCAGTGTGGGCTGGTATCCTGCACAGTGGGTTCAGCATCCACTTGGGAAGCTCAAATCTCATATTGAAGTGCCGGATCCAGTTCAGGCTGCTCCACTTCCAGTCCAACTTCCTGCTCTAATGTGTTTTGGGAAGCAGTGTAAGGTCACTCAAGTACTTGGACCCCCACCACCCATGTGGAACACCTGGACAGCGTTTTGGGCTCCTGACTTCAGCCTGGCCCAGCCTTGGCTATTGCAGGCATTTGGGGAGTGAACCAATGGATGGAAGATGTCTCTTGCTTTTATTCTCAATCTCTCTGTGCTCTGCCTTTCAAGTAAATGAAAAAAAAAAAGAAAAAAAAGAATGCCCAGTGGTAGCAGAATTTAGAATATGATAGAAAATTGCACTTCCTAGAGATGAGTGGCTTATTTTTGAGGTATAAAAACATAATCCTTGTTCTTTGTAGTTTTATGATAAACCTCATGGGAATTGAAGGAGCAGGCCAAAGCAGAAGCCATCTATGGTATAATTTGGTTTAAAGAACAAAGAAACCTGTGTTTGGGTAAAGCAATCTGCCCTTGTAAGATTAGGTGCTGTGACACATCTTTTGATTTTTAAAGCCTATAAAATTGCCTGTGCTTTCATCCAACATGCACCTTCAGACTTTCTGCAAATACCTTGTCCAGCAAAATCCAGCTCATTGTATAATAAGTCATTTAAAAGTAACTAGCCTGATATTACAAAGATACTAAGGTCAAAAAAATGAGCAAGGGGCCTGCGCTGTGGTGCAGCAGGTTAACGCCCTGGCCTGAAGCACCGGCATCCCATATGGGCGCCAGTTTGAGACCCAGCTGCTCCACTTCCGATCCAGCTTCCTGCTTTGGCCTGGGAAACCGGTAGAAGATGGCCTAAGTCCTTGGGCCCCTACACCTGTGTGGGAGACCTGGAAGAAGCTCCTGCCTCCTGGCTTCGGATCAGCGCAGCTCCGGCTGTTGTGGCCAATTAGGGAGTGAAGCATCGGATGGAAGACCTCTTTCTCTCGCTCTTTCTCTTTCTCTGCCTCTCCTCTCTCTGTGTAACTCTGACTTTCAAATAAATAAATAAATCTTTTTTTAAAAAAACTAATTAAACACAGACAAATACAAATCAGATGAAAATTTAACCTTAATGTATTTAGCAGTTTATGCATTCACTAGAGAAAAAAATTGTAAAGTGGAAATGTAAGAACTGTCAGAAAAGTTAGCTCAACAACCAAAAGATACTAGCTTTGAACTAGAAGAACCCAGCAAAGAATAAAGCAAACCAATTAGTAAAATTAGAACACAGTGACAGAGATACTGAAGAAAAATCAATAGGAGACACAGAGGATACAACAGGAAAACTAAGCAAAATGCAATAAAAATAGACTAAAAAGATTAAAAAGAAAACATTAGCAGTGGAAGACAGGCAACTATGTCTGTGCAATATTATAGAAAAAATATATTTTAAGGAAGAAAAATGTTTGAAATTTATAATTCAGTGCATTCAGAAAAACATTTCTTGAAATATAAACAAGTGGAGGAGACCAGCATTGTGGCATAGCAGGTAAAGTCCCGACCTGTGACACCATGCCATATGGGTGCTCTACTTCTTATCCAGCTTCTTCCTAATGGCCTGGGAAAAGTAGTACAAGATGGCTGAAATGAGTGGGCGTCTGCCACCTACATGGGAGGCCCAGCCTCAGCTCCATCATGAAGCTGGAATTAGGCATCAAATCCAAACACTGTGATGTGACAAAACCAGTTTCTTGACCACTGGCCCATACACCCACCCCAGAAGTTAAAAGTTTAAAGTATGTTTTAACGACTACGACAATTCACCTGTCCCCCTCATTGTACTGCTATTTACCTTATGTCTTTGATTGGCAGTGAGTGACACTATAGCTTCATGTTTTAATAGTGTATATTTTAACAGGTATATTTTTGTTGTACAGCACATTAGAAAAGAAACATATTCCACATCATCCAAGTATAACTGCTGTGAGGGCCAAGTATATAAATTAAAGGTAAGATTCAGATTTTCTGACTGAGCTGGCCGTTTTAAGAAATACAAAAAAGTTACTCAACACTCTGATAATCAACTTGCAGTGTTTACTAAAAGTGAGTCCCTTGGGAGTCTATTTTATTAATGTTCTGACACAAGTACATGCAAAGATGTAGTTTTTGGTAGTTTTTCGGAGGAATAAGTTCTTGGGGGCCCGTGTTGTGGTGTAGCAGGTAACACCGCCACCTGCAACACCAGTATCACATATGACACCATTTCAAGTCCCTGTTCCACTTCATTCCAGCTCCCAGTCAGTGCTCCTAGGAATGCAGCACAAGATGGCCCAAGCGCTTGGGCCAGTGCACCCACATGGGAGACCTGGATGAAAACTCCTGTCTCCTGGCTTAGGTCTGTCCCAGCCCTGGTCATCATTGCCATTTAGGGAGTAAACCAGCAGATGGAGGATCTCTCTGTCTCTCCCTTTCTTTCTGCAATTCTGCCTTTCAAATAAATAAAATAATTCTTTTAGAAAAAAGGAATAATTTTTTTTGTCTTTTAGAATCTGTGGCTCACCTGATAGTGTTCCATATAGTTTTATTCTGCGTTTGTCAGCTTGTTTGCTTTGTATGTCTTAGATTCTAAATGTGAGAAAAATAATCTCTGTATTACACTTAAAGAGATGTTATCTCCTAACTTCTTTACATGTTATTAACTCTAAAGGCAAAAAATAATTCCTTTTTTTTTCTCTTAATCATTTTGGGGAATGATTATCAAAAATTAAACATGGGGAGGCTGGCACTGTGGCTTATAGGCTATACCTCTGTCTGCGGCACTGGCATTCCATTTGGGTGCCGGTTCGTGTCTCAGCTGTTCCTCTTCCAATTCAGCTCTCTGCTATGGACTGAGAAAGCAATGGAAGATGGCCCAAGTGCGTGGACCCCTACACCTGAGTAGGAGATCTAGAACAGGCTTCTGGCTCCTGGCTTCTGGCTCCAGATTAACCCAGCTCTGGCCATTGTGGCCATTTGAGGAGTGAACCAGAAGATGGAAGACCTCTCTTTCTCTGTCTGTAACTCTGCCTCTCAAATAAATAAATAAAAACTTCAAAAACTTCTTTAAAAAAGAAGCCTTCATATTTAAAAAAAAATTTACCCCAGAAACTGGATTTAAATTGATTTTATATCCAGAAGTTATAAAATGTAACAAAACTGATTGATCTGAAGTTCCAGAATCTCCTGTGGTTTGGTGATATAATATAGTAGGAAAAACTATGCCATGTGCAGTACTAACCTTGTTACACTTAATAACTCTACCTGTTATTATTTTTTTACTTGTTTGTTTATTTGAAAGAGAGACAGAGATCTTCTGTCTTCTGGTTTACTTCCTGAATGTCCCACTTCAACCAAGGGTAAGCCAGGCCAAAGCCATGATCCCAGAACTCTGGGTCTTCCCCCTGGAGTCAGGGACCCACATACTTGAGCTATCACCTGCTAACTCCCAGTATGTGTATTAGCAGTAACCCTAGGGGCGCTAGGACTTGGGCCATCTTCTACTGCTTTCTCAGGCCATATTAGAGAGCTGGATCAGAAGTGG